TTTAGTTGACCTTTTTGGCCTTTGCAGTTGGACTGCAGTATTTTTGTAGTATCCAAGTGCTGAATATATACAAACATTCAGTGCTATTCAATATTCAGCACAATACTATTCTTGCACATACAGTACATACAGTAGGCCTATACAATATATTCACCTTACTCAGTTTCAATTACTATACTTTTTTTGCAGAATTGCAAAATTGTTTACTCAATACAATATACTTTTTTCTGTAATGTTCTGGATGCTGTGTTCTCCATTTTTCTCTTTAGTGTCTAATGAATGCTCTGTAGTGTTTATTTTATTGACTCGTGTGTGTGATCTGAGAGCACCATTTGATTTTGAGTGCAAGTGAAATGGTTTTACAGTGATTGTTTGATTTTGATGGAAGAGTCAGAGGTTTTCTGAATTTAGTTTGAGTATTTGGATTTGTGTTTAAGGTTTTGAGAAAATGAGTGATGGTTTCAAGAAATGTGTTTTAGCAATTCAGAAAAACTGTAATAAAAAAGACCAGAATTTGACAAAGCACTTCTTAGTTGTGTAAAGAATTACTTAATTTCTGCTTTCTTTGTAGAATCAATGGATCCGGTGTGGTACATGATTATTGGCATGAGTGCCATGAATGCGATTGCCTCTGCATGTCCAAAAAACTGCCAGTGTGGGACAAGCAAAATCATTTTCCAAGGGTTTATAATAAAATAATTTCCACCCTCCATCCCACCAACCACCAAAACCCTCTTCATCTCCAACACCAGGATAGAATCATTAAAACCAGCTGATTTTGAGACTTTCGCTGAGACCCTCACTGTGTTTGTAGCCAAGGACTCAAGATTAGCTGTGGTGGAACCTCATTCATTTGACCAAACCCGAAATCTCATCGCTTTAGGTTTCAGTGGGAAAATGCTCCAAAGTTCTCCAACCATCTCTTTTCACCCCTCTTGTAGAATTGAACAAATTAGACCTAAGCAGAAACCTTCTAACCTCTCTGCCGGAAGATGCTTTTCAGGGTTTAGTAAAGCTGGAAGAGCTCATGTTGCAGAGAAACTCAATCAGAAAGCTTTACAGCAGTTCTTTTCAAGGACTCAATCATCTCAAAGCCCTGTTCCTGCAACAGAATCATTTAACAGATACACCAGCAGCCATCTTTGATGACCTGGTGAACCTTGAGACATTGCATCTTCAAGACAACAATATCGCACAGCTACCAGCAAATCTTTTCTCAAACTTGCCAAAGCTGAAGAAACTCTACCTCTCCAACAATAGGTTATCATTGCTTCCCAGTGCAATTGTTTTTAATCTTCCCAATCTTACTCATATATCACTGTACGAGAACCAAGTCAGTAGGTTAATGCCTGTGACTTTTGGGACAATGGCCCTCCAGGAGCTCTGGCTATACGACAACATGTTAACCCACCTCGAGGAGAATGTGTTTAGCAATTTAACTGAGATTCGCCTTTTGGTGCTTAGTAGGAACCGGATTCAGCACATTTCTCCGGGTACTTTCAATGGCTTGATGGAGCTAGAGGAGATCTCTCTTCACACTAATCGACTGACCAATATTGAGGCGGGAATATTCAAAGGTCTTCCAAAGTTGGTTCTTTGGAGAACAATCTTTAGAGAACAATCAAATACATCACATACCCATAAAACTCTTGGATGGTGTGTCCCATTTACATCTCCTGGAACTTCAAAACAATTCTCTACCAAACTTGCAGAATGAATTTCTAAACTCTTAGAAACTCTATAGTTTATCAAAATCCCTGGAAGTGTGACCATGACATAATAACTTTTCGGGATTGGCTTGTACAGTAGTGATGCGCGGATGAGCTAAAACGTCACCCGAATCCGCAGCTTCAAATAAATTATCCACCCGCCAACCGCCCGCACCTGTATTTTTGTCTGATTTAGATAACCGCACCAGACCCGCACCCGATCATCACATTAGGGTTCATACGGTCATAAAAAACGTGGAAAAGTCATTGAACAGCAATTTCCAGCTGTAGCCTATTTAAAACACGTTCATAATTTAGAAAATGTAGTTAATACTTACATCATTAATGATTTATTTTATCCACCCGCGACCCACCCGCAAATAATCAGAATGCATTTTTTTATTACCCGACCCACCCGATCCGCGGATTATCCGCAGCGCCCGCGGATATAACCGTCATCCGCGCATCACTATTGTACAGTATCCAGAGAAAGTAAAGAACCTTACTTCTCTGATGTGCTATACTCCTCCGGCCCTAAATGGTAGAAATATAAGAGAGCTGAAGGAGGATGACATCATGGTCAGCCAAACAGCAACTGCGACAACAGTTGATATTTCATCAGAAAGTACACGGGCTTACAGTGAACCTACAGAAAGTAATTTACTGCACACTTCCCCAACCAAAACATTAGACTCCACAACAGTCTCAGAAGAGATAGAGGACACAAGTGGAGGTAATGCTGTGAGTCAAGGTCTGTCCAAAGACAAACTCATTATCATTGTAGCCATTGTCTGTACTGCTGTCATTGTCGGTATCATTGCCTGTGTGTTATGGAGGAGGAATAAGCGAGGAAGTCAAGACTTGCACCGTCAAAGAAAAAGGAAAACAAACTCGGTTATCTAAAATTACTATATTGTTACTATTACTAATATTTTTTTTTTTAACAGTCTTCAGTGGGTTTATGGAGAACATTCTTTATTTGGTAACTTTATTTTAATAAATGCTTGTTATGGATATTTTCTTTCTTTCTTTCTTAGTTCTTGATGTATAATGAAATAAAAAAAAAAAAAAAACACTACAAAGTTAAGCTTACTAACTTATTAAAATAAAATTATGAAAATCATTGCTAATTAGATATAATTTGATGATCATAACCTCATGAATGTTCAGTGTTGGGAAAGTTACTTTGGAAATGTAATAGGTTACAGATTACAAGTTACCGTACTTAATGTAATAAGTAGTGTAACTTTTCAATTACTTTATTGAAGTAATGTAACTGATTACATTTGATAACTTTTTGATTACTTTTCTAAATGTCTAATGTTTTCAACTGTTAATCATCTTCAAACATAAACCAGGCAGGGTTAACGTTACACTCAATAATACTCAATAGTCAACACTGACTCCTGTCAGACTTTCAAAATCCTTCATCACTTGAATTAAGATTATAATATTTTAATTTTAAAGGAGACATTGGATGCAAAATGTGTGTGGACACAACCACCCTACAATAATAAAAATCCATTCACTCCTTTTTTTAATCCCCCAAAAACCTAAACAGTCTCAATTATCAAGCCGTTTTGATTTTCTGAGCAGTATGATGTCATATTTGCTCAGGCCCGCCCGCAACCGCTGAAGTACTGTCCAGTATTAGCATAGTTTTGCCCTCAGCCAGATGTACGAAGTCCATCATTCTCTCCGCACTCTAGCAGCTGTAGCGGCAATGTCTTGTAAGCAATGCAGGTGTTTTGCAGTTTTGGGATGTAGAAGAACATAAGAGTGTTAATTTTCTCCTGACATCAGACACACTTAGGAAAACAGTGCATTAGTTTTGTTTTTGATGGTAATGCACCACCGAATACACCTACATTAATTTATGTCTGCGCAAATCATTTTACTCCAGAATGAGGGACAATTCAAGGCATGTTTTGTTAAAAAGTTAAAACTCAAGGATAGATCAGTACCCATTGTTCGTGATTCAGCTGCACTTCCAGAAGAAGTAAGTCTCTCACTTTATATTTTTTTATGATTATTTGCAAATCGCCTTTGCTCTTCCATGTAAGAGAGGGGCGGGTTGAGCAGAGCTCATTAGCATTTAAAGGGACATGCCCGAAACGAGCCGCTGTGAACAGAGCAAGAGGGTGTTGTTTTACATGACCACTGAGGAATTTTAACCAAAGAATGTTGCAGACCTTTCATGAAAACCCTAAAGAATCATACCAACTTATGGAAGATGGGCATCCAATGTCCACTTTGAAGCACAGCCACCACAAAATCAGACTTACTTCGAGATCATTATGAGGTTAAATACATATTTAAAATCATAACAAGAAATATTTTATTAGCTATGATACTGTTTTTGAAATCAAATCTTTGCATAGCTATGACAGGAAACACTGTCTGGAATCTAACAATGCCTTGGAAAAAAAACTGTTAATCTTAAAAATTGAAGCACAGCTATACATAACCCCATATAGGAAATAAAAGAGTTATCAAATAAGCATGTTCTAAACTCCTGAAACATTGGTGTTTCATATTTTAGAGCAGTCACTGCAATTCATGAAAGAAATAAATTAAATCTGTACAGTATGTGGGTGTGTGTGTGTGTGTGTGTGTGTGTGTGTGTGTGTGTGTGTGTGTGTGTGTGTGAACAAATCAGATGTAACCCCCTTTGTAATCCTTAACGTTTTCATAAGTAACTGTAATTTAATTACACATTTTTTCCTCAGTAACTGATTACAGTTACTTTTATTTTGTAATTAAATTACGTAATTCCGTTACATGTAACTAGTTACTTCCCAACACTGTGAATGTTGTTGCATATGAAGAAATGTACTGTTTTCCTTTCTTGTCACTGTCAATGGTTATACACTTTCTGCAGTTCTGTATTAAACATGTTTTTTTTTCATAGAAAAACCATTTTATATAGTAAGCAAGACTTTCTATATTAAATAAAAACCATGAACCATCAGGGTGTTACAACTTGGTATGAAATTTGGTATCTTGATTTCATTGCAAAGTATTTTTAAAGCTTATTTTATGTTTTTTCTATATCTAATACACTACTACATCTGCTTTGCTTATATTATTTTCCATTCTGTTTACATAATTTGGGCATTGACAATATGATAATTAATTTAGTGTACCAATTAATTGTGTGTACTTTGTGAAACTTTTTGAAAGTGAGTTTACAATATTTTATCTCTTCAAACAGAAAGCAAACTGTCCACACCCTTTCTACTGCCTTACATGTAGTAAACACTTGGGATATGTAGATAAGAGTGGTGCACTACGAACTTATACTTGCTTTTAGGAACATCATTCTGAATGTTCATTCAGCTGCAACTGAGATGAGCAGGTAAGAAAAATTATTTACATTTAATGAGATAAATGCAGGTCAGGAACATAAAAGCACAAAAAAACACAAAAAAAAAAAACTGCTTACTAAAACTTCTGTCAAGCTCACTATTATTTTATTTTTATTCATAAATTATGAATCTATCAAAATAATTTTGATTTTGTTTAAATACAATTGCTTGCACAATGCACAAGATATAAAGAAATGTTTTATGTTCTTTATTATTATTTATTCAAGTCTTTTAATATTAGTAAGTCATGGGAATTAGATTTTAATGTTTTATTCTTCAACAGGCATATGCATTTAAAAATTGCACTAGTATTCATTTACATACTTGTGCACTTGCACTGGAGCTGCACTGCAGATATATGTCAAGAAGATGACGACTGCAAAAATCAAGACGTGTATGACAAAACCGTGACAGCAATTCCTGAAAAACTAAAAGATGGAGCCGATGAAATATTTTTTGTAAACAGTCAGATTCCTGTGATACCAAAAGGAGTTCTTTCTAAAAACCCTCAAATAAAGAAAATCGAATTTCTTGGTACTTCAACTCACTCTGTAGAGGTTGGAGCCTTTGAGGGTTTGCCTGATATCACGATCATTGAGATATCTATCACAAATGTGACATCATTACCTGTGGGTGTTTTTAAGGATCTCAACAACCTTCTAAAACTTATTTTAAAAAATAACAAAATACATAGCCTTGAAAACGGGTTATTTGATGATTTAAAAAAGCTTGAGGAATTACATCTACATATGAATGAGATCAGTACCATTGAGGAGGGGACATTTGACAATTTAGAGAAACTCTTGACTCTTCATCTTGCAAAAAACAACCTTAGTTCCGTATCGACATCTCTTTTTTCCAATCTTAAGAGCTTGAACATTTTCAGGCTTTATGAGAACCAGTTGACTGCTCTACCTGATGGGATTTTTGATAATCTCCCTGATTTGGAAGAGATAGCCTTGCAACGCAACCAAATCTCCTATATACAATCAAATTTATTTCCACACAAAAGTAAATTAACAAAACTCTATTTGGACAATAATCTTTTAACAGAACTGCAGCCAGATCTATTTGTTGGTTTTTCTTTATTACAGAGTCTAACTCTAAACAAAAATCAACTCACCAGTCTTCCCAACGTCCTTTTTGGAGAAACGCTCAAAATAACTGAATTAAGTCTAAGCCATAACAATCTCACTCACTTACCAACTGGAGTTTTCAGTCCACTTAAGAAGCTAAAGAAGTTAGACCTTTCCTCAAACCAGTTTTCAATTATATCTGCAGACTTTTTTGAAGGTCTTGAGAAACTGACTGATCTGAATTTACAAAATAACAGTATAGAGTCATTAAAACAAGAGGACTTTAAAAAACTAAAGTCTCTTTCAACGCTCAAACTGGGAAATAATGAACTACAAAACCTCCCTGGCGATGTTTTTGATTCTCTTCCAAAACTCAGTAAACTGTACCTGAATGAGAACCCATGGAAGTGTGACTGTAACCTGTTGCCATTCTATGAATGGATGAAGAACAATAAGGGCAAGATTAAATCAAAACCTCCAGAAGTTTGCGAGTTACCAAAAGATCTGCTAAATCAATTAATCATCTCTTTAACAGAAGAACAATTAATATGCCTCACAACTTCACCAACTACCACCCCTCTCCTTACAAGTACCGTTCCCATGACCACACTGCACACCACAACTGCCTCAACAACAAAGTTAACCTCAACGACAGCAGCACCTACAACAACTACTGCTTTACAGACGACAACCACACCTACTCCAACAACAATACCAACAACAACTCAACCAACTACAACACAGACAACCCCCACAGCACCAACTACTCAACTCACAACTTTGCTACTAACCACAACCACACTACCTACCACCACTGCTACAACTACAGCTCCGACAACTACATCAGTCCGAACCACAGCATCAACAACTACACTACAGCCAACAACTGCCCACCTGACAACTGCATTGATTCCCACCACAACGACAGTACAAACAACAACTTCAGCGACCACCACTTCTACAACCACGGTACCATCAACAACGGCCCATGTGACAACTACAGTGACTCCCACCACATCAACTTCGACAATCCGAACTACAATTGCAACAACTTTAGCCACTACAACTATATTAATCCCAACCACTATTACAAGTCAAAAAACAACAGCAACTACCTTACCATCCAGCACAACTACAAGGAAAACGACACCTTTTCTTACCACACATATTAGTTTCATCTGTACCGGCTCTCCTCAGGCCCCTCTCTCAACACCTACTACCACCAACAAGTACTCATCATGCAAGGAACTGATGATATATTATACTACAATGCTGCTGGTGGAAATCTGCTGTACTATGGTGCTGGCCAAATTCACTTATTCACTATACTGCTCTCTGGAGCAAAGGGAGAGACTACACACCCAGGTAAACTTGACTCACTTCTCCTATATTAAGTCTATTGTACTCCGACCAGTTGATGAGACAGAGACTGTAGCTCTTTGATCTTTTTTTTTTTTCTTTTTTTTTTAAGTTTGAGTAGCACCTGGTGGTGGTCACTTATTAGAGTCTTAGAGCACTCTTACTGTTCCTCAGAGGAATTGTTTTACAAACTGTCTATAATTGATGCTTAATGCTTTCATTTTATAACAATGTACAATAGTGTCCACAAGTCTGAATCCTTTACCTCTGTTTTACTATTAAAATATTACTTTTTATATTCTATAATTCTATCATATAATGCATTGTATACATTATGTAATATGTCATCAGCAGAACAATTTAAGTGAAGAATTTAATTAAAAACATGTACATTTAAAAATTGTTAGTATTTAGTAAGTTGCCCTTTGACAGCAGCACTTTAACTGCATAAGTTGGTGTAAAACATGATGATCCAAAGAGTATCTTGTGTGCCTCAGTGAAAGCAAGAACATCTGACCTTTCAAACAAAGTAGTTTATACGGTCAATGTTAAAAATGTACCTAATTATTTTTAGGTTATATATATCTTTATATAACCTATATCTTTTGGCAGAAGGACAACCCACAATGCTTTATATGAGGATCAAATAGCACAATGTGTAATGGATCATCTATTGCTAGGTGTGCATTATATTTTAATGCGTGATGTGGAGGCAAAGAACCACCTGACTTGCAGAGGTAAAAATGGAGGTTTAAACGTGCGTGTGATACACGAGAACCAATGAGGATTGTTGTAGTGAGCTTCCGCATTAACTGTATGTGAAGTGTTCTATGCATGTGTCTTTATAGATGAATACAGCTTAAATTAAATCTATTTATCATATAAAGTGGTCATATCTATGCACAAGACTTGGATTAAACCTTTTTGCATCTTCTAAGTTTTGGTTCCCTGGACTTTCAGTGGAAGGAAAGAAACCTCTCAGGTTTCATTAAATATATGTTAATGTGTGTTTTGAAGATTAACCGAAGTCTTATGAGGGTGAATACATGATGACAGAGTTTTTATTTTTGGGTGAACTATCACTTTAAGTGTGTCCAAACTTTAAACTGGCAGTGTACATATTTTACAACAGAGCACAGAGATACTTTTCAAGCTTCAAGTTTGTATTTTTTTATCTAATAAGTCAAAATCATTGTAAATCCATCTAGCAGTTGTAATGTGTTTACTGTTCTTTGGAAGGGGAAATCTAAAAAGGGTTTATTTTGAGTTAGGTCACAACTCTTGAGAAGGTTGGGGCATCTGTTGGCTACTATTAAGCAATTATTTGCAATTCATTTATCAAATGTCAGCAGTCTTGATTAATTATCCTTAGAAGAAAAACTTTGTAGGTGTAAGACTTTGGTCACATTGTATTAGAGAGCAAAAGAATGTATTGAGACCGGATGCATTTGGGGGGGTCATAAAAACAAGAGGCTAAATCAGAAGAGGTGCAGATAGTTATTGGTTATGGGCCTCATTTGCATCGAATTCAAATATTTGTCTAGCTGCATATTTATTAAGTGGATACTAAATTTTTAATATTTATTATGCTTTAATTGCACTTGTTTAAGCATGTAAATGGATCTGAACAAATCCACAAATTAGCATGGGAATATTTTCTGGGTCGATTTTTCAGGCACTCGGTCTCATTTTTAGTCTGGAAGCAAAAGGTTGTTCTTCAAAACAGATATGAATGTCTTTCCCAATGTCACGCACTAGGTGTCAGTGTAGCCGCATTTATTTTGTTTTGTCCAATAATTTGCGGCACCTCCTGCTCAAACAGTGATTCAGAAAATCACATTCTATCCTGTTTATGTATCGAAATTAAGGGGAAAAACACAACCTGCACAGTGTCCTTAGTTTAAATAGATAAATAAATAAACAAATAAATAAATAAAAGCTATTGTGTGAGCATTTAAGTGTGTAGTGTATATGTTTTACAGTGGAGCACAAACAGAAAACACAAACACGCACAGAAACCCCAGCCTGCACACAACATTTTACGATCACGATCCTTGATTACTGTAATGAAACTGTCTTGCTGCAAAGGAAATAGAGAGGTATAGGTCTACACATTTGTGGTCAAAGTAAATTCCCTTAATACTTTTTCAAATGTACCACTAAATGGCGATCTGACCAAATTTCCATTTATGTGTAAACAGTGGACTGTAAACATTGACGATTTGTAAATGTGCGTCCATTCACAACAGTTTTGTCACAACGACTGACATTATCACTTCTTTTATTTATTTATTTAATCCAATTATTTAAAGCGAAAACTTACACAAATTATAGGAAAAAAATAGTAAAGAAACTAAGAGAGGAATCATTGCCATCATTGTTTACAAAGCAAACTCAACACCTGCATGGCTGAAAAGGACGAGAGGGAATGGGCACAGGCTGCAACAGACCAACAGAAGACTGGTTAGATGTCTTATTTTGAGCACACACCGAGCAAGCCAACATAAACTACCTGACATCCTGGACCATGGATGGCCACCAGAATTGCTGATGGACGGCGTCCAGCAATCTCCGAACCCCTAGATGACAGGCTACCCTGGATTCGTGACCCCACCGGAGGACCTCAGGACCCAGCGCAGCTGGCACAAACAACCGACCCCCCGGACACCAAAAGGGTAAGACCAGGTATTCAAAGTGTCCCATTGGGGTGTTGAAGGCTGTCTTCCACTTATCCCCCTCACGAATACGGACCAAATGGTAGGCATTACGGAGGTCTAACTTAGTAAAGACATTGACTACCTGTAACAATCCAAAAGCTGATGGCATCAGAGGCAGAGGATACCTGTCTCTTATGGTGATGTCATTGAGACCCTGTTAATCAATGCAAGGCCGTAAGGAGACATCATCCATCTTAACGAAGAATAACCCAGCCCCAGTAGGTGAGGAAGAGGGACAGATGAGGCCGGCATTTAAGGACACTTGAATATACTTGTCCATGGCCTCTCTCTCAGGACCAGACAGGGAATACAGATGCCCTAGAGAAGTGCCTAGGAGGAGATCGATGGCACAGTCATCGGTGGCCAGTGAGGAGGTAAAGACGTGGCCTGGGATTTACTGAAATCCTGGCAAAGATTGTGGTATTCCGCTGGGACTACGGAGAGATCTGCCGTCTCTACTTGAAACACAGAAGACACAGCCAGGAGACAAGGCAGCACCTAAACACGAAGCAAGACAAGACTGACTCCAAGATAACACAGAATTTCCTGACCAATCCACGTGAGGGTTGTGCTGCACAAGCCACGGGTGCCCCAGGACAACTGGAGCACCTGGCGAATCAAGGAGGTACAGCTCAATCACCTCACAGTGATTGCCAGAGACCACTAGACTTACAGAAGGAGCAGAGTGGGTGATGGAGGAGAGGAGAAGGCTATTGAGGTAACAGACTGAGATGGGAGAAGGAAGAGGAATGGCAGGAATGCCACACTGTGCCGCAGCAGAAATGTCCAAGAAATTGCCCTCAGCTCCCAAAATGACAAGAGCAGAACTGGAGTGAACAGAACTGATCAGAAACAGGGAGTAGGGTACGAGACATGGGGGAGTTTAGACATGGAGGGGCGCCCATCAGGATCCCCCAGCTTATTGATGGGCCCCGGCTTTTAAACGACATCGGATGGCTCGGTGCCCAGGCTTCCCACAATACAAGCAGAGACCTCAAGCCATTTGATTCTGCTTCTCCTTGGCTGTAAGACAAAGACGTCCCACCTGCATGGGCTCAGTGTAAGCTAAAGAAGGCGAGGAGGCAGGAGCAGTACTGGAAGCACCCTCATCCAATGTCCAAGAGGGTCGAGCAGTACACCGCTGACGCCCCTCCACATGCAGTGCCAGTTCCACTAGGGAGTCAAAATCATGAGGCAGCTCATGAGTGACAATCTCATCCTGGATCTCGTCATCCAGCCCCACTCGAAACCTAGCGCGCCAGGTAGCTTCATTCCAGTCGCAGGCGGCCGCCAGAGTTCTAAACTGGATGGAACAGTCCATGAATGAGCCACCGCGATGATTCAACCGTGCCAGCTGGGAGGCTGCCTCGCCACCCAGAGCAGATTGGTCAAACAGCTTAATCATCTCGGCTTGGAAATCCTAAAATGCGGCACAGAACAGGGCACGAGCATCCCACACAGCAGTTGCCCAATTGCGGGCCCTTTCTTTCAAGAGGGTGATAACGAATGCCACCTGAGACTCTTCCATGACATAACGGCGAGGATGGAGTGTGAAGACCAAGGAGCACTGGGACAGGAATGCCCGGCACGAATTATGATTTCCGGCATAGGGTGGAGGACTCTGAGGTGGAGAACAGGCAAGAGACGCGGCAGATTGGCTGGCCAGGGCCTCCTGCTGGAGTTCTTGCACCCGGACATTGAGTTTGGCTACCTGGGCTGTCAAGAGGTCAGCCTCCTGTGAGGTTGCTGTTAGCTGGTTGGAATGCTGGCCCAGGAGAATGCCCTGTTAAGTCACAGTGGTTCTGATTTGGTCTGTCCCTGCTGAATCCATTCTGTTCAGATCATTCTGTCAGGGAAAAACAAAGATTCAATTGCAGGTTCAACTGGCAGTAGCGGAAGGCTGGAAGCCAGACCATCCTGATTCAGCCGTGCCAGCTGGGAGGCTGCCTCGTCACCCTGAGCAGATCGATCAAACAGCTTAATCATTTCGGCTCGGAAATCCTGAAATGTGGCGCAGAATGGGGCACGAGCATCCCACACAGCAGTTGCCCAATCACGGGCCCTCCCTTTCAGGAGGGTGATCATGAATGCCACCTGAGATTCCTCCGTGACGTAACGGCGGGGCTGGAGTGCAAAGACCAAGGAGCACTGGGACAGGAAGGCCCGGCACGAATTTGGATCTCCGTCGTAGGGAGGAGGACTGTTGGCGTGGGGTTCTGGCTCAGCCTGAGGTTGAGGACGGATAACAGAGGCAGCAGATCGGCTGGCCAGGGCCTCCTGCTGGAGTTCTTGCACCCGGACATTGAGTTTGGCTACCTGGGCTGTCAAGAGGTCAGCCTCCTGTGAGGTTGCTGTTAGCTGGTTGGAATGCTGGCCCAGGAGAATGCCCTGTTAAGTCACAGTGGTTCTGATTTGGTCTGTCCCTGCTGAATCCATTCTGTTCAGATCATTCTGTCAGGGAAAAACAAAGATTCAATTGCAGGTTCAACTGGCAGTAGCGGAAGGCTGGAAGCCATAATCCAGGGCAGAGGATGCAGACAGGAAGAGGTGGACATTCCAAACGAGCATCCAGACACTCCATGAGGAAGAGAGGGGGAGCGAGGAGAGAACAATGCACAGTCTCAGCATCAGTGCTGACTCAATGTCAGTGCGGAGAATTCCCCAGTGAGCACGCCGAGAGGGGTGGGAGTAGTAAAGGCATAATACACGGCTCAGGTAACACCAGGGCAGGAGCTGAGGATCAGAGGTCTGAAGGAACGAGAGGCAGAGAGGGAGCAAGAAAAGAAATCAAACAACAGAAACTAAACTGCACTTGGAGTCTCGGAAAACACGTCAGTACATAACACGGCAAAACTGAAAGTAGGTCACGAACAAAGTGTAGCGTGTAAATACAACAATGGTCTGAGACAAGACTACGCACAAGAGGAACTAGAATAGAGGAAGAAATGAGGGACTAACAAGCCACAGGTGTGATGGTAGCCAAAGTAGTTAATAGGATAACAATAGGGAGGGGGAAAACCACAAAGACAACGAGCACGTGGGAATCTGTTAAAAACAAAATCCATGTGCTCACAATAACGAACACGTACATAGACAAGACAAGGACAACAATCTGCCGATCAGACCAAAGTCGTGACATCCAGTTCCAAAGAGA